ATTGACACAGACACGCACTTTACCGTTCGCCTTTCTCACAGCAACATTCAAAGCAGCATGTGAAGAGTAGATCACTGGTGTGATGACACGGGCGCACTTTAGTCTGTCGAGCTCTTGATCAACTGATGCCATCGTTGCATATGGTACCGGTCTTTTTGTTCTGAAGACCGGATTGGTTGCTTCGCGAAGACACAACTTTGCTTTGAACTTAGTGCAGTGACCGAGACCATGTTCAAACAATGAGACAAACTACTACTTTAGCTTTCTAGTCATGTCTTCCATCGAAAATGATGCCTGGACTAGATCGCTTTGGACTCTGTTGCAAATCTGATTCATTGGAACGTCAACAGTTTCAAATTTTCCATCCAGTCAAGCCCAAGAAGGTTCAAGTTTGCTCGGTCCGACAAGTAACTGGTTCCAATTTGTTCCACTCCGATGAAGACAATTTTGTAGGTTATTTCTCCGACCAGCTTCAGCAGTCCATCAGATGTATTGTGGGCGACGTTGCTGAAATCAACCCTTTTCGGACTCTTTATGTGCTTCCAAGTGTTCTTGGAAATAATCGCTGTATCTGAGGCCCTATCGAACTGCAGCCTGGTTGGGATCCCGTTGATGAGCACAGGGACAAATGAGCGGCGTGGTCTAGAATCACTGTGAAAAGTTGCAATCAGCGATAATGATTCTGAGTAAGGCTTCCCGAAGTTCTTCCTGCGGTAGGACTGTTTCAAGTTTCTTGACCGGAACCGATGGCAAAAGTCTTCCTTGTGGCCGCCATTATGGTACTTATCACAAATGTGATGCTTGAATGGACAGTATCGGATGAAATGCCATTCACCACATGACCAACAAGGTGTAGGCAGCATGTTCTGCGCTCTGTTGAACGGCTTGTTCGAGCCAGCCTTTTTTGCTTTGTGCACAGCATGAAAAGCATCGGCAATTGTGGGGTGACTCTGCTCAATCATAGCGGTGTCGTGTTTTAGAGTGATCAACCGTTTGCATTTGCTTATAATAGACTTCAATGTCAAACCTTGATCTTGATACAACTTAGCAAGCAGCCCAGTGCGGATTTCCGCGTCGCGTGGGGACCGAACAACACTGATAAATATGAGATACTTAAACTGCTCATCCGTAATTTGAAACGTTCACCATCACGGTTAACCATGTCTGCTAGGGCCGCATAATCGACCGTATCCCGCTTAACAGTTTTTAGACATTGATAGCAAATGCTAAACAAAGACGCTGATTCATTGAAAATTTCTTTGAATATTGCCACTGCTTCGTTGAAAGTGATGTCCTTCGGCTCTTTGATCAAGATGTAGTCGACGATTCTTGAATATTCACTAGTATCGAGCTTACGGAGCAAAAGGCGCACATTCCATGAAGCATCTTGACGGCTGAAATCTGTCCGGAACATGCTCGCCCAGCGTTTGAACCACGCCTCAAAAGTGCATTCGGAATCAGCATCATATGGAAATTCAGTGATTGATTTCGTAAGGTCAAGTGAAACGGCTTGAAAGTCCCGTGTAGCTGCTCCGTTTGACTGTACGTTCAAGCACTGCGTTAAACATCCAATCAGTTTCATTTGTGCTTCTATCTAAGGTTGTTGCTGAGGAAGCAGCTTTTGAAAACATTCAGAGGAAAAATTCAGATCATTTTCTTACTTGTCCGTTGTCATTGTTAGATCTTCACATTTTCTGGCCATTCCGAATTAAACACCCAAAAATTTCTCTGCAAAAGTTCTAGCCCCAGCCGAAGAAAAGGCAGAAGTCCAACGAGCGTGACGGCGAAAAATGTGTTAACGAAAACGTCGCCAAACGTAGTCAAAACACCACTAAAACGCTGTACACCTTCGCCAGACCTACGCCAAATATATAGGGGGGCTCAATAACCTTCGGCTTCTAGATGACAAACCACAACAAATAAACATGGCAGCTTCCTTGCCAAAACTCTCTATGTTGGAAATCACGTGAAGGAATGGAAGGTTCCGGGATTTTCGGAATCAATGCACAATAGAATGTCATCTATTCATTGCTTAACTACTGGCTTTTTCTTAATGTTTTACCTTTCTCTGGTTAGGAAAATTTATTTCCCTCCGCATTGCCAAAGCGCGTTCGGCATTCGCTAACTTGAGGTATTTGTGTCGACGCCACGACGTTTCACTATACGTTAAGTGCAGCATCTACAATGCCTGTGTTCGCTCGGTGCTGTTGTATGGAAGTGGATCCTGGCCGATTGGTGCGAATGAATTGCGTCGGATTTCGGCCTTTGCTAATGAACTTTTGCGAACGATAGCTTGAGTGTGCTGGATGAACCATGTGCGCAACAATGATGTTAGACGTCGCGTATTGGGTAACACGGATCTTCCACTTCACAGACTGGTACCACTGCGCCAACTGAGGTCGCTGGGCCATGTTTTATGCTTGCCATGCGAACCGCTGTCCCGACAAGCTCTCTTCGCTCGCACAGGATCAGGCTGGAAAAAATCGCGCGGTGGTCAGCCCATCACATGGTGACAAACGATTAAAGCGCTGACTTCCAGTTTAGCTGTCGTAGGTTCCATGCGTCTTCCGGGCTGGTGGATCAAAGATGAATAACACCGCTGGCTGGAAACACTTTCGGAGATGGCTCAGAACCAGGCCCAATGGAAAATGTGTACAAATGTTTGTTTTGCTTTTCTTGATTTACAACGCAAATATTAAGCAGACAAAAAGAGATAAATAGACGCGTGACATACAAATAGAGCAAATACAAGTTTCAAAAACAAAAAGGATTTCCTTACTTTCATTCTTTTCTTGGTGGTCTCTGTGTTTCTTAATTTCGTTTTATGGTTTTCGCTGGTTCTATGACTATCTTATAAATTGCTGATAATATATATGGTTGGCGGCATCCGGTTTCAGATTTGCCTGTCACTGTGCTCAGCCACAGGATGCCTGCACCCACAGAGGGACTATGGATGGCTTGCGCTGCAACACCCACAGCTCCATCCACACACCCCATATCCAGTGTTAACCCGAAGGAATAAGACTGGGAGGCATGTGGATGGGAGCCACGTTACATCAATGGAGCCCGCACACACTCCTTCACAGGCAAACACAAGCACGCTGTATTTGGGGAGTCAAGCGAACACAAGATGGTGGCTGGACCCTGGTCCGCTACACACTGAGTGCATGGAACCACTATTTGATCCTAACACGGCCACAAGGACCGTGCACCCCGTCCCCGTCCAGCAACGACCAACTGTCTCCTGGAGCCAGTATGAACGAGGTAGTGGGTAATGGACAGATAGGCACCTTGTCAACATGCACATCAAGCGCAGCCAGACCGGGGATATCAAGCAACAGCCATACACTTGAAACGACAAAATAAAATAAATCCATTATTGCAAACAGATACGGTGGCAAAACTTCGCCAAACCACCATATGAAGTAAGTTGGTTGTCAGCAAATACTCGATAAGTAAAAAATGTCCAGAAGTTACTCAAAAATGCTACAAACGCAACAAAATTACCGAAGATAAGCGCAATTAGCGTAAGCAATGTCGTCAGTTAATAGAGGATTATTCAGTTGGGCAGAACAAACCAAAAAGTTGGAATGAAAATGTAAGCAGCTTAAAAGGTCTACTTTGAGTGTAACTTGGTTTAGCTCAACTACGGTGAAGTAGCGTCGTGAATGCATCATTTTCCTCAGCATGGGGCACAATAATATATATATATATATGTTAATAAACTATTGCTCAATTCTTGATCAGCTGTTGTGCTATTACCATGATCATGCCTTTAAATAAGTGGCACACGTAGCCGAGAATAAAGTGTATTTGTTTATATTTATTTAATTGTTAGTGCTTGAATTCCAACTTCTTGAGTGTAAAAATACATAATCGTAGCTATACTTCTTCAGCAGTCAGACATAGACGGTTAGTCAGTTCCTTTGCATTCAGCACTCAGTTACAGAACTGCAGTCGAAGATCCTGTATTCGTACAGTGAAGAGGAGGATCCACCCTAGTGTCTCAAGCAAGCCTAATGTACAAATGCTTCTGGCAATATGCTTGTCCAAATGTTGATCAGCTTTCAATAGGTCACCTATTCAGGGAGCAAATAACAGTTCGGAAAAGTCCACCTTAAGCTCTTGTGCCTTGTCGGTTGATGCGCCTACTAGGAACGTTCCGTACACGCGTGGACGCTGATAACAAGCAGGAACTCTTAAATTATGCGATCAGTTGACTGAACACTAGTGCATCTGCTGCGGCGTTAAATCAAGGAAATAGTCCAAAGACTGTAGCCTCATTGATGATTGCTATTGTTATAACTGTCAGGTTACCGGGATTATTTCCAATAATTTTCCCTTATAGATTCGTCACGCGAACACCGAATTTAATGCGAACCGGCCGTGATCTGAAGAAAGTACTTGTATATACTTGTATGAACACAAGGATAAAACGAACTTACTTGGTCAAAAATCGGTGAGGCTGTGTATAGCAAAAGTAACGATGGAGAACCGTCTCCGCCCTAAAAACAACCGCTAGCAGATAGAAAGGAAATACCGTATCAAAGTTACTCGTTTCCTCCCAACGCCGACGAGTGGCCGAAAGCACAAACAATCTGTCTTGTAATCCGAAGGTCACGGGTTCGAGCCTACGTAAGGATCGGGTGACCCTCGCGGTAATCTTAGTCCACGCGTGACTGGTAGTGATTACGTGGCATAGAAGCGTTAATACGGTGTACCGGCGTACTACTGATATCATTCTTATTCGCTACATTAGTATCGAGTTTCCACGCTACCATCTGCATCCACAGTGCATCCACCGGATACCCACCTTGCGCATTAATGAAAAATCGACCGACCATTTCACAGAAAGGAGCGAGCATCTAGGGTGAAGTATCACTGATATAGGATTCAAGACACAGTGCTAACCGGTACGTGCCCACTTATGTTCACATTGGCAGAAATACTGGGTCTTCTATTTTTGGTGTTATTTGAACGCTCATTCTTAACATACTTACTCTAGTGCCTCTTCGTCCCAGAGAGATTTGTAGCGATGCGACATTATGCAGTGCATGGGCGTTGAGGGGCGTCCCATTTGACCAAATATCATATCTGTGGGATATTTTGGTTTGCGCAAGCGGCCCAAAACGCGTTTCGTGGGGTTAAGCCTATAATCCTTTTCTTTCGCAAACTTTATCCATTGGGGTACAGGATGGATCCCTTCTTTTGTGGATTCTACATTTATGCGATGAAAATCTCGTGGCAGGCACTTTGGATCAATATGATCTCGTCTTGCTACTGTGGGCCAGTTAAAGCATTGAAGTATTTCATTGGGGTTCAACGGAGTAGGCACGCCATAAGTGAAGCCAGGGGGTTGCTTTGGCCTTCCTCGAGTGAGGGCTTTACCAGTTTTGGGTCGTTGTAAGGTCTCCCTTGTCAGCATTGATTTTCGGCAGATGCCGATTTTCCCTGGGGCAACATATTCACATTTTTGAAGCAAACCCAATGAAGCTTCCTTTGTCGGCATCCTGCCACCGTGCGATGGGCTCGGCTGTCCGTATGTTTTCAGGAACTAAACATCTAACCCCAGGTAGATTTTAAAACTGACCTTGAACTTGTCGATCAATGAGAAATGGTAGCTGAATTAACCGATAGTAACTGCACTTTGTTTCAAAGCTGAATCCAGTTTGTACCCCTTTTCAAGTATGAAATGATGACGGAAGTGCAGTGGATTTACCATTAACAATAACGAAATACAAAAATGTGAGCATGCAAAGCAGAATTCAAAAGATTGTATGGAATTATCAATGACGGAAAGTATGCTAGAAAATGGCAAATCTTATTTAATTGATTAACAAAGACAAGACACAGGAATATGAATGCTAGAGGAGAATTAGTACGAACGTCCGAAAGAGGATAGTAACCGTGAAGAAGTTCGTACTTATAACGGACAGCTGACGATTATTTTTTATGGAATTCCATAGCTTCAAACATCCTCATCTGAGGAAGGGAAATCACACGACCGGGAGCCACTGAGTTACCCCGCCAGGAGCTCTCTCGATTGACAATATGTTTGCAAAGCAGTTAACAAGTATTTCAGTATTATCCAAATACAAAGGGAAGGATCTTAGGCTGATGATGGTGATTCCTCAGCCTGAGATAATGACACCACTTATGTTGGATAACTGGTCTAAATTCCGTAAGAGGCTGCCTACAGAAATTCGGTTAAAGGCAGCGGCTACACGGCCACCGCCGCTAAAGACTCTTTGGGGACGACCAATTTGGTGAGTGTTCCCTTCATACAATTCTGCGAAGGAATTGCATTAGCGGAATAAAACTAAACACAGCGGGCCATCATGGCCAGGAGAGCCGACATCAGTCGTACAACCCAACCGACTTTCAAACGCAACGACTCCTCAGAAAGCGGCTGGTGGCCGACCCCTCAATGGGCGGCACAACCTCCACTCCGGGTTCAAACTTCTATGAGAAACTGACTTGCTTGTATACTAATGCACGCCTTATTATTAAGTTGGTCGGACTCGGTCACCGTCAGGCTTCTGAGCCTGAAGATGTATTGATGTTCACCGAAAAATGACTGAACCTTGAAATTGCCACGTTGAGATCCCTCTAGCCGATATATCACTTCTCCGGAACGAAAGAACGGATAGTGGAGGGTAAGTAATCATTTCTTAGAAAACAAATCACCGTTGTGAGTTCATAGATGACGCTTATACGGGTGTCACTGATCTGCTTTTGTGCAAACTGTGGTTGAAGGACAACGATACATGCATCGAGTTCATAGTTCACCATCCACCCAAATCCACTCCGGGGATGGAAAACAGACTACTATCTGCATTTCGTGCCGGCCAGTAGCCTAAAGGTGTAATGTTCGTCCTTCGCTTGAATTGATGCTTGATTCCCAATCAAACCCGAAGTAGCTGGACCCCACAGGACAGAGAGAAGACCGGATGGGACGAGCAGAACAACAAGAATGGATTAGCAAATCACACTGTTCAATATAAAGGTAAAATGGAAAGTTCGTGAATAGTATATAAAGCGACCGTGGAAAGCTCTGGAAAGGTTAACTTACAGCCAATAAAGGAACTTCAACCTGGCGTTCATTGGCCGCTTCTCCTGGTTGGCTTTCTGTTCGCCTCAATCAGGGCGGATGAGTTTGGATCGCCGGCCGCCGCGATGGGGGATCCTGGCTTGTTCAACTCGCGTATTCCTTCCTAACACTTCCCCCCTTTGAGTTGTGTTTTGCGATTTCAGCTTAGGGTTGACTTGCATGGGTGACACGAATTTGCGTCGCCACTTCTGCTTCTGTGCTGCTAGGTTTCGGGGCGAATGCTGTGATTACTGTATTGGGGCATGTTGGGGAGTCTTCGCTTCACCGGCATCGGCCTGTATGTCCAGAGGTAACTGCGCTGCTGGTACTTGTTGTTGCCCTTGTTCATAAGCCCGTGCCTCTAGCAGCCGATTGGCATATCTTACCCAAACTTCCGTCCCAACCTGGATACCGTAGATCGCGTTACCACGTTTGTATGTGACAGGCAAATCCGAAACCGGATGCCGCCAACCATGTCACATGGCCCATCTTAAAGATCAGCGGTAATGGCGACGTCGCTAGCGTACATGGGTCGCGTTAACACTTGGGTACCAAACGGTTGTTGCTTACACTATCCCACATTCGTTCGTACATTGGATTGAACAATTGGGTGTAGTGATGAACAATTATCCCTGGAGTTAAAGTACTCTACAACACTTCCTCGCTTTGGAATGCAGTTTGGAAATTCGGTGTTCAAGGCGCAACAACTATTGGTGCAAGTATCCACACATTGGCTGGTCCGTGTAAGCTGAATAATCCCGGCAAGTCACTGACTCGCAATTAACATGCTAATGTTGATGCTACATGTTCTGTTTCATATATTAGTCACAAGAATGAATGTAGCTATATTTCCAGTTGTACATCGCCCATACTGAAGTTAGGATAAGTCAGCTATTATCGAGATAAGGTGCGGAAGAGCAAACGTTCCTTTTACAATTTAAATTAGAATTGACCAATCATCTAGATTGACTTAAAAGTAGATTAGTCCAACTGTGGTATTACGGTAGTGTTTAAATATATACTTGGAAGATGAATCCAGCACAGCAACAATTGATTGGTTGCGAAGAATAGCTGCAATCGAGATGTATGATAACGGATTGTTAGTAAATTGTAAGCGGTAAATTACGATAACAAATCCAGGTCGCATGGGAATATAATACGTTCGGTTAACCACCTTATCGGCGCCATCTGTCCGGGCACTTGATACCCATTGTTTGTCTTCCCTCATATGATTAACTTTGCAATGCTCACTGTTTTCATTGCAACTCACACCATGTGTATGGAGATCTAATCGTTCATTGTTTTCTCAAGCCATGTCTAAGTGGTTCCATTCCAAACCCCGCTGTGAAGATACCATGGTGCCCAGGGGTCCCAAGACATACTCATTTGAGATATTAGATAATTAAATGTTATGCAAGGTACTTCTTGTAAATTTGCTAAAACAGTTTGCACACTCTTTCGAAAGTCGACGATAGAACAGGGAGCAGCGGAATTTACCACATGTGTTGGTGATGTGATAGTGTCAAGGGGGCCAACAGAAAATGTATGTATGATATTGTCGTCTATTAAGGCTTATAGCAAGAGAGCATGTACAGTACACAGGAACCATAAGTCATCTGTGCTTTACGGTACATTTAGTTGTACATCATTCTACCAGGTAACCATACTCACGGCATTTGCTTCGGTATTTCCATATCTGTTGATACCTACACTTCTGAATAAACTTAAGGCTGTCGTTTCGGTTCTCATCCAAACGCTAACTAATCACTGACAGTGGTAATGGTTACTTGCAATTCTACGTGCGATTTTCTAAAACTACAGAAATATGGCTGTTATTCTTTCATTCAATCCGAACTCCTGCACGTATGTAGTGTTATGGTTCATGAGGGTTAGTATTTCTTCATCCAGTTTGTGGTAGTACATACACAAGTGTGAACAAATGCCCGTTCGCAACACTGCAGTATTATAACTCGAATCAGGAACTTTTGGTATGTCAACTGATATCTCACGTTGAATGACCAATTGGAAGCCATTTGGAAACACTTATAAGCACCACACTTCAGCCTGACAGACTGATGGCATTTTCACTCGCGTAACACCATTATCTTCTGGCTCGATGGGACTAGCCTAAAGTACAAATCCCGCTACCATCTGTTCGTGTCTCGATACATTCCCACTTGATAAATGGATCTTATTACATTTCTTCTCGTGTGACACTGTGACTTATTAGGGGTTGCAATATGAAGTCAATGTATCCCATCTCAGTTGTCTCTATACGCCCCATTGTACAAGTCATAAAGGTTGATTCCCGGAGCAGCGGCAATACGTTGTGACATCCGAATCGAAATGTTTGGGCATAGATAGTAGTCTGGACACTGATGAATTGGTCGAGATATGTTAGCGGTCAGAACGAATGACCAGGGGGAAATAAATAGTAACACATGACGGACTGCTTGGTGGTTCTACCTCCCAGTTGATTCTCACTCACCTCGGACAACAGACGCTTATAACCGGCTCTGGTTTTACATCACGACACGGATAGCCTGCAGTGGACATAATCGCACCATTTCCCTGCTAACTTGGAAAGTTGCTTACGCCATCTCCGTCACTCTTTTTTGGTGTCATCCTTACTCTATATACAGCATGTAAGTCGGGCTTGGCTACAGTTTCATTCTAGAATGATTAACTACTGACTCAAGCGGTGTCTAGTATGGTTACGTACTGAGACAGTGAGCTATGGCATCTTCCTCTTCGTATTATTATTCGTCCGCGATTCACATCACTATGTAAGCTCCATGGTATTGCTCACCATAACCGTAGATTGACTAGCTGCTCAATGCTAACTTGCATGATGCTTAGAGAGCCGGTGCATCGCAGAATAATGGTTCAGTCCATCCATGAGCTCATTTGTAATTGATGTGAGTGCGGTTTTTCCGAGCGATTTGTGTGCTTGCTACGGATCAATGCTAGGGTGGCAAATTATGGGGTATGTTTCCAGTTCGATGCATAGGTTTGAATCAAAAGGTTATTATCGCTTGGCCGTTTACAGTAAGCATAAAATGTCGAATTTGACATGTGTAACAATGCTCAACGATTGTCCTTCGTGTGACCAGTTTGGATTATGCATTCGAAGGGAAATTTCCCTGGAAATTCTGTGTCAATTGAACAATCCGACAATTAACCGACTAGCGATTATCACGATGTCGCCATTTCATTTTCCACTCCGCGGGCTAGTGATGAGAGTGAGTTTAGTTATAGTTCCAGTTATCCCTAAGCCATAGTGAATTTACCGGGGCCTATGAAAACAAACGTACTAACCGGATGGAAGACAGACGTGCAGAGACACCTACCAGAAATTGCATTTCACATGGCCAATCTTTTGGATGGATTAAGTAAAAGGTTGAACCTAACGGGAATGGTACGTCAATGTGTTATTATATAACATCGAAAATGAATCGACGCATAGCGACAATGGTTTTATGAGCACCGAATGGGCTGCACCCGAAACGTACGAGATAGACAGTTAACAAATAGCTTCTGGCCACAGTAGAGTACAGGTCGGTAGGTATAAACGGTTGAGTACTTGGACATTTGCACAATAAATGCGAACACTGTTTCGAAAGTCGCATGTTTGACAGTGGGCAGAGGGACCTAGTTGATGTCACTTGTCAATGCCTAAGGTTGCGCATCAATCGTTCTTTGAGTAGGTGCACATACCTCGGGCAGCACATGACTGAAACGGTCGGAGACACAGAGAGCCAGAAGTGGACACTGCAACGCATCCGCATGCTTTGTGATCTCCCCCCATCAATCACTCAGACCAGACTGTACATGTAGAAGGCAACACCTAAGTGCACACTATTTCACTGTACCAGTAGTCTAGTCATCATTCTACCTAGCAGTTGCTTCACTATTACTACATCGGGTTCCTTCAAATATGGATGCCTAAGATTTAAGGCTGTCACGTCTAAATGTTGAAGAAAACCACAACAGTTCGTATTGGGTATTTATTCTCATGTCTGCGAAAGTGGTTGTTAGCCTGACCTCCAAACCAAACCCATACACGTTTGTTGTACCATTGATGATGATGTCTAATGTGTCTCTATCCAGTTTGTGACAGCTCACACTTCAATTTGGATAAACGCATGTACATATGTTGTATTCGAACTGCCATTGGACACAGATGACACCAATCTATGTATATATGTATGCCGAATGAATTCGACGAAGATACTCATATGGCTTTTGTACGGCTAACTTAGTGCAGTAAAACGACATTCGAGCAAACCGAAAATAACATTACCAGAACATGAAGAAGGTGAGTTTATGACAAACTCATGTTGATTTCAGGTGCTTCGAATGCAAGGCAAATTTAATCGATGCGAATTCCGTGGACTGTTCAAAAGGGCGGTTTCTCAGGTGCCGAAGAATGCACTACAGTACGTGGAATAGAAGCACCATGAGTATGTTCCGATTCAATTTACCAATCCAGGCCAATAAGGCGGCGTATGTCGTACGTTTGCTTGCGTGATGAGTAACCTCGCATTTCAGAAGTAGATGTTGCTTGAGTTCCCCAGTGTGGATGCGCTTGATGTGAATGTTGACAAGGTGCCTACCTGTCTATTATCCACAACCTCGTCCATACTGGCTCCAGGAGACAGTTTTTCGTCGCTGGAGGGGACGGAGTGCACCGTCCTCGTGACGGTGCTAGGCTCAAATAATGGTTCCATGCAACCTGTGTGGAACGGGATACGGTCCAGCCACCGCCTCGTGTACGTCTGGTGTGTATGATTTCCCAATTAGGCCGGAATGCTTCCGTTCTGCTTGTTGAAGGAGTGTGGACCGGCTCCGTTGATGAAACGTGGCTCCCATTCACATGTCTCCTGGTCTTATTCCTTCGGGTTTACACCGGATATGGGGTGTGTGGGTGGAACTATGGATGGTGCAGCGCAAGCCACCCATGGTTCCCTTTGTAGGCGCAGGCGTCCTGTGACTGTCCCCATGGACGTCAC